AAGTTCTCCTTTTTGACTGGTGTGGGAGACTTCTTGAGGGGTGGGTCTAAATTATGCCTAAGAGACCCCTTAGGTCTGCGGACAAAGGGAGACTTTCCTTTTTGTCTCCGGACTTGGGGAAGTACCCCAAGGGCCTGTATTGGGTTGCATACCCATAGGACTATTAGGCCTGTGTTTTTCCTGAGGATACAGGGTCAAGACAATCCAGTCTCGGGGTGGTGGCGGCACGTTACCCCCAGACTAGCGAGTGTGCTCCGGGAGAGGGGTCGGTTGGACATAAGGCGCCCCTAGGGAGGCATTCGGAGCCTGGAAGGTGGTCGGGCGGAGGGAGGTGGGTGGCTCGACGCAGGAGCGCCCCCCTACTGGCCCGCCTCATGTGGTCGAAATAGCAGAGGGATATTAATACTCAGCTGTGTTCCTGAGGTGGGATCTCTGCACCCGCCACAGGTGGCCTATGGAAGAAGCAAAAATTCGGGTGTGCTGGGTTGGTAGGGACATTTCTTACTGAATAAACTTGACTTGAGGGAGATGTCTTGTGCCTGGGTCAGGGGTGAGCATCATCTTCCTACTATCAAAAATAAGCCTTCAGGATCCTGTGCCAACACCCAAGTGCTGTGCAGGGTGTGCTAGATCACAGCTGAGCTCTATGGCTGAGGGGACGACGGATGGGGCACGTGCGTGACTGTGACCAGCCTCAGGCCCTGCCTGTACAGAGGCTCTGAGAGTGAGCAGAAAGAAGGGCCGAGTCTGATCTGGGGCAAGCAGGGCCGGCAGAGCAGGCACTCCCCATGTGACTGTCGGGGCCAAGAGGAGAATCTAGCCAGGGCTTTGGAGGGTTGTGAATATGGGCAATATGAACATACTGTAACGAGTGGGTAAGGGCTGCTTCCAGGCAGACAGCCAATGTGGATGGGATGATCTCCTGACTGGGGTGGCTGGTTTTCAGTAGCAGAGAGATGGCTGAGTACACCATGGGCTCAGGACAGCAGTGTATTCCCTGAGCCTGCCTGAGACAGCACTGGTCTCTGAGCCTGCTGCACCACTGCCCTGCAATTCTGCACAGCCCTGGGCCATGGGGCTGGAAGCTTGCCCAGGGGATGGGACTCCAGGTGGGATGGGGTGAGGACCCTGTCTCTTGCCTGGCATGAGTGTGATGGCCAGAACCAAAGAAATTGATAATCAATAAATATGTGCTTCTTAGAGGCATTTGGAATTTTTGTCTAATATAAAGCCTGTATTTTTGTAACCCGCAAATGTAACTTGTAACTCTTTGTGGAACTGACTAGGCCTCAAAGACAAAGCTATAGCTGTAAGATTAGCTGACCTAATGGTTTTCAGCTCCAAGTTTAGCCTGGATAATGATAAAATCTGAATTCAACCACCTGGCCTACCCAGTACATTCCAGGAAAGCACATCTCAAAAAAGCACAGTCAGAGGAATCTAAAGGGGTTGAATAATATTAATTTCAAACCTGAAGATGCTACATTGTAATTTGCTTATTGGATAAACCCAAGTCTGGGTAGTAACCTTTTATAATAATTTTAACACCTTTTAATCCCATAGGGTAATAGCTATAGGGCAAGTTTATGAGTGGCTCTAAAGCCAACAGACTAGCATAAGACTAGGTATAAAAAGTGCATGTATCAGGTGACCAGCAGGAAGGAGGGAACAGAACAGTCACTGCTGTTCCACGCCCGGAACCCAGACTCCCCTTGTGAGTGAGGACCAGATCCTGATCAAGGAACCTTCCCTGGTAATCCCTCTGACAGCGTCTATCGGGAACATCTGACTTCACTGGAATCACCTGGTGCACACCTGGCATTGAGAGACTATCGATAACTTGCCAACCCATGTCTGTTTAATTGTTGTTTTAAACAGCCAATGGCTGATACCCTCACAGTGCCCAGCTGGCCTGCGACAGATTGATCTATCTATCTGTTGTTATTATTTACTATTAGCTCTTTAATACTGCATTATCTGCTTATCATATTTACCTTTCTGTTAACTGTTGCATGTGTGTAAGCTATAATAAATTTGCCATTACTTTACTCCCATCTCTGCCTCCTCGATCCTGAACCAAACAGCCCAGTGGCTAAATTGATATACTCACAGTGCCCCGTTGGCCTGTGACACATGAGGCGTGCTGGTCAGTACACTGGGTGGGCTTCTCTCCTCAAGATGCTGTAAGTGCCAGGGCCAGATGCAGGTTGACCCCGCAGCAGCAGACCCACAAAGCCAGGAGACTCTGTGGAGCTGGCGTGTGCTATCACAGACAGGGGCTTGTCCAACAGTGGTGTGTCCTGGGTGTACAAGAGCAAGGACTCTGCCCTCCACTTCATCATGTTCATCTCCTCCCTCTCCCAGGTGCAAACAATGTGGATGAATGTTGCTATGTGGGAAGGAAAAAGTCCAGCAGCTACAGACTGCCCGTGAAGTCCATTTGGGAGCAGGACCAGGATGAATATTAATGTATCGATAACATGAACCAAATGCTGCATTTCAGCTCTGGGCACCAGGTCTTCCTGCCAGGTCAGCACCAGCCTCTGCCCTCAATGCCCTCTGACAGGAACGGGGTCTCAGCAGCCCCCTTCCTCCCCTGCCAGCTGCATCCTTATCTTGCCAGTCAACCACAGGCCCACCCTCTCCACTTGTCTGCCCAGGGATGAAGGGCTATGGCAGGGGACACTGAGAAGATCGTTCTGCCAAAAGCCTGCCCTAGACGTCCCAGCCCAGCCCTGTAGGCTTCTGATACCCACCTCTCTTTCACTGAATTACAGCTTCACTTCACTTCCCCTCTCTGTCTGCATTGCCCCAGGCCAGAGGTCCACTTGGAGAGAGGGAGGGAGATTCAAGTTATGCTGTACTACAACATGCCGGGGAATTGCAGGTGTTTGTTATCAAGAAATGTGTGTTTAGGGTGCAATGGAAACAGAGAAGGGCAGTACGGAGTAAAAGAGCTGTTGGATCATGGCTGGGGGCTTTTACTGAGTGGAAGAAGTGGTGGCTGCTAGGCTGTAAATGTCAGCACCACCTGGCCCTGCTGTAAATTGTCACCAGTCACTGGCCTGTGACTGTACAGGAAGCAGCCAGTGCTGAGAGCAACAGAGCTGAGCAGAGCAGGGAGGTTTTTGCATGGGGCTGTAGCACTGTGCGAGGCCACTGGGTATTCTGCATGCAGTAATAATCTCCAGCATCATCAGCTTCTATGCGGCTGATGGTGAAAGTGAAGTCGGTGCCAGAGCCACTGCCACTGAACCGGTCGGGGATCCCGGAGGGACGGGTATTTGTGTTGTAGACAAAGATCTTAGGAGCTTGCCCTGGTTTCTGCTGGAAGAGGTCCATGTTGGTGCTAACACTGGAGCTGGTTTTGCACTTGATGGTGACTGTGTCTCCTGGAGACACCACCAGGGACTCTGGAGTCTGGGTTACAAGAATGTCACCACTGGAGTCTGCATGGGGGAAAATGCTCAGCATGAAAAGAAAATCAAACACAGAAATAAATCAGTGACCTGAAATTGAAAACTCTTTTTTTGAATCAACAATTTTCTTTGAGAAATTTTAGTTGTATTTATGCTACTGGCAATACTAAGTAGAATATTCTGCATTGGGTGAAGAAGTTAATTCATCTTGAAGACAAGAACTGCCATCTAGCTCTTAGAAACTACTGACAATTTGAGCTGCTCCCTCCCCTGCTGGTGTCCTTACCCTGCACACAGAGCACGAGGAGCCCAAGGAGCTGAGTCTGCCACAGCATCTTGATGCTTCTGCACTGACTGACACGGAGCTGAGAGACACCAAGCATTAAACCGGCCCCTTTATAGCTGCTCCCCAGAGCAAGGGACAATCACTGGGGTGGCCGTATGCAAAGCACCAGCTCTATGTCCATGAGCCCTCCCTGGGGCACTGCAGGGAAGGAGGTGGAGACAGCCCTGCTCTGGGGGGGCCCAAGCCTCTGCATGCAATGAGAGCAGACAACGGGGATTAGGGAAGTCTATAGCTGTTCTGCTCATTTATCCAGGTTCTTCCCTTCCCAGCACCAGTTTTGTACCATTTTATCCACTTCCTGAAGCACAGCCACTGCCCAGCTACACTGCAGTCAGTAAGAATCGGGTGCTGTTTGCCTTTGAAATCTCCCTCCCACCCACTGTCTCATCCTCCTCTCCTGCCCAATCTGCCAGTTCTCGCCTGCTCTTGGCTAACACGGTGTCTGCACAGCATCTCCACCCCGGGCAGCTTCCAGCTCCCTCAGCCTCACTGGCATTCACCTCCCACCTTCCTCCCTGTCTCTCCCTCAGTTTGGTCCCCATCATGATATATATCAGCATGTTGCAGCTCCTCCACTGGGAGTCCCCCACTGATCCTGTGTAGATCCGACATGTCGGTCCACCCCACGACCATCTCCTCCATGATCTCTTCAAAGCTTGAATGGCTTCAGCCACCCCCTACCTGGACTCCTAGACCAGAAGGGCAAGTGGGAAAAACCTCTCACCAGGAAGGATCAACCCTGTCTTCACAGTCCATGGCACATGTTGGCCTCGCCTCTTGAAATCCCATCTTCTGCTGGCTCTCCTGGCTCTTTGTCCTCATGTGTCTCCTCCTCCCTCTCAGGCATTTGCTTGCTTGCAGGTTTACTGTCTTCGCTTTCACTGTCTTTACTTTTGCTCAGGTCAGTGCTACCTGCCTTCATGGTCCCCAAGCCCTTGTTTCATCACTTTGCCAGCACTGAGTTTCCTATCTCTTGTGCCGGCTTCCACAGCTTTCACTTCCCTCCTGGCCTCCTGCCATCCTCTATGTCCTGTCCCACTGCTCCCTTCCCCCCACTTTCACTCCCTGTCTCCAGTGACTGCACAATGGCATGGGATGGGGGGGAGAAATGGTCCATGGTGACACCGACAAGGCAGAAGGATCTGGAAATTGGTTGGCTTTCTCATCAAGGAAGTGATTCTACTCACGGCCTAGTTGGATTCTGAGATAGATATTTCCTCTTCCAAAAGCAACCAGGGAAGCTGCAAAGCAGCAACCGCTGCAGTTCTGCATTTGCACATCTGCAGAGTAATGTGGTTTGGAAACAGAAGATCCTGGCTTTATACCTTGGAGCGGGCCAGTAGGGGGTGCTTCTGCATTGAGCCACCTACTTCCCTGCACCCGACCACCTTCCAGGCTCTGAGTGCCTCCCTGGGGGCACCTCGCATCTGGCTGACCCCCTTCCTGGAGCACACCCGCTAGCCTGGGGGTAACATAAGCAGTCACCACCCTGAGGGGGGATGCTTTTAAGCTCTGTGTCCTCCGGGAAACACAGGCCTAATAGTCCAATGGGTACTCGACCCAGTACAGGCACTTGGGGCACTTCCCCAAATCGGGGGCCAAAAAGGAAAGTCTTCCTTAGTCCACAGACCTAAGGGTACTCTTGGGCATAATTTACACCCACCCCTCCATAAGTCACAAAGGAGAACTTTATTGATTACAGGGGTAGGGTGAAAATAGTGTACAAGACAGAGCAATGTCATAGAAATCCCATCGAGCAAAAGGGTCTGGCTGAGGTAGCCTTTTGCTCATGCATCTGAGTTACTGTCAGCTCTACATCTAACCAGATCTAGAGTACCTTACTCACAAGCATCATCCTGAGGCTGTTGGAGATCCTCTCGGGAGGCAGGCCATTCCTCGCTCATGAGTTATGGGGGAAAGAACCAGTTTCAGATGGTAAAGCTCCTCTCTAAGTCTGAGTCCCCCACATGGCTGCTGCCCCCTCCTCTTGGGCAGTCTTAACTTATATAGCCCCTGTGACCTCATTCACCTGG